GCAGGTACTCAGTACCCCGGGGAGGAGAGCCCAGCTCAGGCATCCAGGGGAAGAATTCGCTTTCCTAGGCTCCTCCCAGGATGGGCAGGGGTTGTGATGACCCTCCTCCAGACTCACTGCCAGTGTCCCTCCTCCCTTTGCTCCCTGAGCCGTAGTAACACCCAAAATCTTGATGATCCCAGGGATTCCAATCCCCCTGCCGCCCCCGTCTTACCTGGGGGGCGCTTTTTTGCACACAGTGCCATCTCACCCAGCAAGGTGCCAGCAATCCCATGGGAGACCCTGCAGGAAGGTGACATACGCGTGAGGTCAGAAAGCCAAGGGTAACCCTTCATCCCCCTCTTCAGACTCTTCCTGAAGGTTCTCTTCCCCAGGTCTGACTTTCCCCACGGCCTCCCCCCTATGCCTCAGCCTCGGATGGGTGTGTGTGTGTGTGTGTGTGTCAGGACTAGCAGTTTACAGAAGCTGAGACCTACAGGAAGAAGACAGAAGTGGCCAGGCAGGAGGGGTACAGCTCTCAGGGAACCCGTCCCAGGGGCAATGGATGCCCCCATGTGCCCTCCTGGTGGCAATGAGTGGTGCCTGTGTTTACTGGAAAGCAGAGTTTCCACCAAAGCGTGGGGGTGAGGGAACCTGAGCCAGGAAACACCTGGCAGAACCTCAGGAAACAAAGTGGGCCAGGCTCCACCCTTCCCAAAATGCTTATAGTCCCCCCAACCCCCACTACTGGGCCTTCCATTCTCACCTCCTGCTGGAGCTCACACTAGAGGCATGGCCTGCATTTCCTGAACACAGTCCCCAAACCACTTCCTCTCAGTCTGGGTCAGCTGAGGGGCCATGCCCACCATGCTGGGGAGTGGCCCTCTCTCCCACCCACCCTCCACAAGCCCAGCCCAGTTAGGGTGGCAACAGACGTAGGCTCAGGGAGCATCAATCAGACAGGCCTTTGCTTTCCTTCCATCTTCCCGCGTCCGTTTCACCAAAAAAGCCAGAAGGCCTGCCTCATCCCTATTGCCAGCCAGGTCCCAGGTCCTCTTGTCACACCTCCTCTTTCTCTGTCTGGGTGGAAAGCCTTCCCCCTCATCGGTGCCCCTGACTCGGGCCTCCTCGGCACAGCCTGCCAGCCTGTCGGCCCAAAAAGATACTGACTGCCTGTCTGCTCGAGCTCTATGATTACAGACTCTGGCCACAGCCCGTCACCCGCACGAGTCACCCCTTCACTAACTCAGACTCCCTTTCTGAACCCCAGATCAGGCACAAAGCCAGAAGTCCTTTCCCTCGCCGACCCTCCCCAACACTGATCGCCAAGGGTGCCTGGCTGGCTCAGGAGGAAAAACCTCATCCACCGTGTTAGAGATGCCAAGCCCTCCTCCCGTGGCCCTGGCCAGGGTCTCCACCCAGTCTAGAGTATGAGTCATGACAGGGTGGGGTGTGGAGGAAGAGGTTAAAGGAGAGGATGGAAGGGTGGGCATCCCCAGTTCCACAGCCAGCCCCACCCTCCTAAAGGGAGGCAGTCAAGAAACCATCAGCCTCAAGATCTGGGTTTGAATGCTTTCAAAGAATTAATGAAGGAACCACACACACTTTTAGGAGTCAGGAGTCTGGACACGGAGCAGGAAAGTTGTCTTAACTCTAAGACCCTGTGGAGGATGAAAGCTGATTTGGTCCCAGACCTCATCCCCTCTGGGGGGCCCTAGTAGGGAGGAAACAAGAGTGGGAGACGGGGAAACAGGGAGCCCCTCTCACTTCTCCCCCCAGTCTCACACAGCTTGGGTTTTCTGAACCATCAGGCACACCGGCCACGTGGCCCTGCCCATCACCCTGCCCCAGCCCCCTCTGCAGCCACATTTGGGATAAAAATAGCCAGCTCTGGGTAGAAGGCAATGCTCCATGTAGGAAAACGGCTCCTCCTCTCGGACCGGCCCCAGCTCCCTTCCAGACCAAACCCGGGAAGACGGACCCCTTCTTTCAGAGAAGGTTGGCAGGGATATTTGTGGGCAGGTCAGGGGAACAGAAGGCAATGGACCCCTAGACCCCCAGCTCACCTACCACCGGCACCCCTGGCCACCTTACATCGCCAAGGACAGATGCCAGGACTCACTCCCCAACTCTGAATCCCCAGAGCTACTACCCCTCCTCGCGCCCCTGCTTTTGCTCACGCACAGAAACCTCCGCCTTAAGAGAAAAAGCCTATCAGCCCCGAACTCCCTTCTCCAGGCGCCCAAAACCCTCGGACCAGGGTCACTGCCCTCACCCCACAACTCTCGGGGCGGCTTCTCCCTCCTCGGTGCTCCACGCCCCCTCCTTCAGCACCCCATCCTCCCGCGGCGCGGACAGCCTCTGGACCCCCATCCTCAGGAACCCGCACCCTGGTCTCTGCGAGCACGCGCGCCACCCCCGCCTCACCTCAGCGCGCGGCGCCCGGCGCCCGCCCCGGCCGCCCCGTCCTGCCCATGCCGGGGGCTGCGGCGGGGGGCGCTCGGCTGGGCTCCCCGCGGGCTCTCGCCCCCAGCTGCAGCTCCGCTCGCCCGGGGCTCGGCCCGCTACTTTGTGTCAGTTTCGGCCGCGGCGGGGCGGAAGTGACGGAGGCGGTGGCAGAGGCGGGGGGCGGGAGGGGGTTTTGGGGAGGGGGAGGGAGGGGGAGGGGAGGCGGGAGCCGCCATCTTTGTGCGGGGCGGGGGGGGCGGGGTCTTAACCCTTCCGAGGCCCCCCCCACACCCACCCGCTGCACATCCTTTCCGCAGCCAAAAAGCCAAGTCAGCCAGGAGAGTAGCGAGCCCAGACGTTGTTTTTTGTTTTAAATACATTTTTTTAAGATTTTATTTATTTATTCATGAGAGACGGTGGGGGGGGAGAGAGAGAGAGAGAGAAGCAGGCTCCCAAGGAGCAGGGAGCCCGATGCAGGACTCGATCCCAGGACCCCGGGATCATGACCTGAGCCAAAGGCAGACGCTTAACCATCTGAGCCACCCAGGCGCCCCCAGACGTTTTTTTTTCCAAGTTTATTTAAGTAACCGCCAAGCCCAACCTGGGGATCGAACCCACGACCCCGGGATCGAGTCGCAAGTTCCTCCGCCTTTATTCGCTGGAAAGGGGCCCTGGAGCGCAGACCCGGGAGCGGCGTGAGAGCAAGCCCCGCCTCCCGCGCCCCCGTCCCCCCCCCCCCCCCGCGGCCCCGGAGCCAGAACCTTGCCCCGCGGCGCACCTCACCCCACTCCGGGACGGACGGCTGGAGCGTCTGGGCACTGGGTCGTGCCTCAGTTTCCCGGTTTGCGCTCCCGGCCACTAGGCAGGCCCGGCTCGCACCCTCGCCATCTGGAGAGCCGCCCCGCGAGGGAAGGGCGGCCGCACCGAGGTTGTGGGGCTGGGAGCCGGGCAGGGGGACCGGGCTCCGCAGGAAGCCCCCCTCGCGGGGGCTGCCCCGGCCCTCCCGCGCCGCTCCCGGGCGCGCCCTCTGGTGGCTACTTTGAGGCACTACGTCCGCAGGAGCCATCAGGGCCCAAAGCGGGAGGAGGGGAACAGGGGAGGAGGAGAGGAGGGCTGGAGCGCAGGAGGGACCTGGCTCGGAGGGCCGCGTCCAGGCAACCTCCCCAGTTTAGGAGGAAACGATGCCCCGATAGCGAACCGCGAAGCTGGTGTATTCGTCAAGAGAGAGGACGTCTTGTCACCAGCCCTGGATCTCTGACCCTCTCCAGCGTCCACAAGGGAGGTGAGGGCTGTCGTGGGAGCACCTTTACTGCGGCAGCCGAACTGAGGCAGGCGTTTCCAAGACGGAGGCTTTATGTAGGGCAAACTCCAGATCCTGAGCTGGCTCTGACTCCTCCGGGTGGTGGAGAGCCACCAGCAGCTGGTAGGTGGCGGTGCCAAGCGTAGCCCCCACCAGAGGGGCCACCACAGGCACCCACCACCAGCCATTACCGGCGCTGCAAGAGAAAGACGCGAGGATCTCAGGGCTGACTCCCCTAGACCCCCCGTGGAGCACCGCGGGCAGGCACGAGTGCTCCTGAGAGCAGTTCCTGGGGAGATGGACGCCAGGGAGAGAGGGCGTCTTGGCCACAAAGCACAGCACTTAGAGAGGAGCCTCCAGGAGAGCCTTGGTCCAGCCTCTTGCCTTAGGGAGTTATCTGAATATACCCGTTTTGCTGAGGGGTGATGCCCAAGGAGGTAATACGACATTCCCAAGAACACCGTCCCTACAGTTTCAGTGGAAGGGGTGGAGGGAGAGGAGAAGGGGCAAGAGAGAAAGGGAGAAACAGGATGTGGATGAGGGACACTGTTCCAAGGGGCTAAGAACCGTGGAAGCAGAGAGAGCTGGGGACCCAGACTCAGAGGGAGGAGAGTGAAGGGGCTGCCCCAGCAGAGGAGGCTGGAGTCTCCTACCTGAAGACTTCAGGGCCCCAGCCAGCCACGTAGGTGAAAAGCCGTGGGCCCAGGTCGCGGGCAGGGTTGAGTGGGTACCCACAGTTGACACCCAGGGATAGCCCGATGGCTAGGATCAGCAACCCCACAGCCACAGGTTCCAGACCTGCAGGCACTCCCTTGTTCCGTGTGTCCACGATGGCCAAGGTGCCCACAATCAGGATCCCTGTGCCCAGAACCTTGGAGTTGAAAGAGGCAGAGGGGTCCCCATAAGCTGCCAGATGATCCATCTGCCCTTCCTCACCCAAGCATCTGATTTTGTCCAACACAGGCACCTGAGGCGGGGGTGGTGCGGAGGTAGACCCAACCCCACACCCCAGGGAACCCCAGGGGACAAGAGCAAAGACCGGGGCTTTCACAGGTCTCCCCTCGCACTTACCTGATCCAGGAAGCCATTGTTCAGGGACAGATACGGGGCAGGGTAGGTCGCAAAGATGGAAGCTGTCTCCCTGGGGCCAGTCACTGTCAGGTTGCCACCTGTATAATTCTGTAGGGCGTCTGCAGGGAAGAGGGACACGCGGGATTTCCATCTTTGTTCATGCAAAACCACTGCAAGGCACTCCTGGCCACATGCAGATGCTCCCAGCCATGTTACCGTAGTAGACAGCGTAGGTGGCTCCAGAGGCACAGAAGGCAGAGAGAAGCTGCACCGAGCAGTAAATGGGAAGCTTGAACCAGGGGAAACGCCCCAGGAGGCACATTGTCAGGGAGAAGGCTGGATTCAGGTGGGCCCCTTCAAGGATCCAGAAAAGAAAACCGCCATCCCTTAAGTGTCACTGCCAGGTGCTCACCAGGTAATGCTGTTGTTGCCCCTCACAACTTTTTAATTTAATCTTATTTATTTAAGTAGTCTCTTCTCCCAACATGGGGCTCAAACTCACAGCCCTGAGGTCAAGAGTGGCACACTCTTGTGACTCTTCTGATTGAGCCACCAGGCACCCCTGATGCTTGCAACTCTTAAGGCAGATGTCACTTTTCCCATCATGCGTCAGCAAGCTGAGGCTCAGGGAGGTCATGCAACTGTCGAGGTCACACAGTAAAGCCCAGGGTCTGCCTGGTCTTTCTACAACAGTGTTCATGTCTCCAGGCTCCAGCCAGGCACACTGACACAGCACGTGTCTGGGGAACAAGAAGGTGAGGTGCTGCGCAAGACGACCCCGGAGGGCTTCCGGAGGGGGACGTGAGAAGACAGCACTTACCCTAACGCCTTGCCGTGGGTCTCTGTCTAGGTAAGTGGACGAGAGACACACAAAGGGAAGGGGCTGGACCAGGTCAAGGGCATATCTCAGTCCAGGGCGCTAGTCAAGCTCAAGGAGATAATGTCCCTGAGTCACCAAAGGATCTGCCTTCTGCCATATACCCGCACTCACGTGTACGTGCACATTCAGGTGAGGACCCCACCCTCCTCACCTGAGACGTTACCACTCACGTAGATGGCTACCATAACCGCCAGAGAGCCAGCCAGAAACATGGTGAAGAAGTTGCCTTTGTTTTCTCCGCTGGTGACAGCCTGGGCCACAGCCCCCTGGGTGAGGAACTGGGGGGGAGGGAAGATGAGGAACAGGAGCCAGGAACCAGCAGGGAACAGGGCAGGGGGGCTGGAAAGGCAGAGGTGCAGCCAAAGGAGCTGAAGGAACAGGAGGGTCGGCAAGGGAGGGACAGCGGGCAGGAACGGGGAGACGGAGGACAAGTGAAGAAAGGGAAGGGGGAGGAGGGATGGCCAGGGATGGCGATAAAAATCAGGGATGGGGGCGCCTGGGGGGCCCAGTCGGTGGGGCGGCTGCCTCCGGCTCAGGTCGTGGTCCTGGAGTCCCGGGATCGAGTCCCGCATTGGGCTCCCTGCTCGGCGGGGAGCCTGCTTCTCCCTCTGACCCTCTTCCCGCTCGTGCTCTCTGTCTCTCGTTCTCGCTCTCAAATAAATAAATAAAATCTTTAAAAAAAAAAAAATCAGGGATAGGCCAGGAATGGAAGGGACAAGGAGACGGAGAGAAGTGATGGGTGTGGCTGAAAGAAGCAAGACACCAGGAGGAGCCGAAAACTTTTGCCCACCTCGGCTCTTTCATTCCCCCATCAGTGGGCTTACCAGGAGCACGAACACACCCAGAAACTCTGCCAGGCACTGTCGGGCCAGGTGGTTGCGGATCCGGAGCCGGCCCTTGACTTTGGCCAGGGGCTGACGATGGGCCATGCTGAGGACACCCTGTCTCGGGCTGCGGCTCCCTCCGTCTGGATGGGCACCCAGCGACCGCCTGACAGGGGAAACGATCAGGAAGACTTTAAAACCAATTAGCTCAGCTCCTGGACAGCTTTATCTGCACACGTGTGCAGGCTAGGGAGGTAGAGATAATGGGAGAAGGTCCAAAGGCAAGCTCTGTGCATGACCAGAGCCTGGAGTTTGCCCGGACTCTGTCTCCTTTGTCATCCCCGCTCCTCGCAGGGGTAACCTCCTCCTGTGCCTACAGGTCGGAGGGAGTATCCTGCCTCAGTGCTCTTGGCCACGACCACCTCGAAAGGCAGCGCTACTGCTCCCACTCTGCTCATGAGGGTCTTGAGAGCCTCAGGACTCCCCTTGGCCACACGGCTGCTTAAGGGCTAAGTCTGACTCTCCACCTTCTATTGCACAATGCCTCATGTGGGATGTGAAGCATTTCCCCCAACCATTTGGACGCTTAAAATAAAACCCACTCATCAAATGCTTGCACGGCCCTCATGCAGCGTCTCACCTCGGTTAGAAAGTGCTCTAGCTCTGTGTCGCCTGCCTTGGCTCCAGATGAGGCTTCACGCCCACGCTGAGCCCCACCTCCCCTTCTCTGGGTGCTTGCCACCCTGATTCTGCACACACATAGCCACTTCTTACTTCTTATCGCAAGCCTCCAATTAGGTTCAGTCCACTATGAGTCAAGTTCTAGACCCCGGGGAAGCAGGGGGGAGCAAAATACAGTGCCTGTTCTCCTATGGTGTATGTTCTTCCGGTAAGTGGAAATCTACAAATTAAAATGCTGTATAGAGTTTATGAGGTTCTTGAGACCTGGGCCATGTTGACCCATGGGCTCTAGCACAATCCTGGGTACTTCTGTAGCAGAAGTTCTTTACTAGGTTTAGTGGGTACCCACTTTGGGGCCAACGCACCATTTCCCAGCTGGTAGGAATATCAGATGCTGATAGCACATAGCTGCTTCCCTCACAGTAATACCTTTCATGGCCTGAGACAGCCTCACCCAAGGTGACATGCCCCCTTATGCGGCCCATGTCGATGACTGGTCGATGCAGGGATACAAAGACCTGGCCTCTTTGCCTCAACGTAGAACAACCCTGAAGGGTCACTCCAGCTTCAAAGTCTTCTCTTGTAACTTCCTTGGGTCAGTCACCTCTTTAGCCTAATCCTGCCTTCCTCACTTTCTTACATGTGTACCCCGAGAGTGCTAGCACCCCCAAGAAACCTTGTTCATGTCTCTTTTCATCTCAGTGTTTCCCCAGGGAACCCATTCTAAGACGGTTGGTGTCAGGAGTGGTTCCGCAAACTCTAGAATGGAATTTGGGCGATCATTCAGGGGCTGGTTGGCAAGAACTCCGTCATGGTAGAAGGCAGAATATGGATAGTCTCTAGCTTGAAGTGACGCAATGACTAAAATTGTCGGCAGTGGTCAGCTGGAAGCAGTTACTGGTTGAAAGGATATGCATTAGTGCAGTATGTCGAGCACTGGAGAGGCCGAGGGAAATGGTCACTACGTTCTGCAGAGCTGGTTGCCAAGCCAAGGCCGACCACAAGCCAGTGGGCTCCCTTCACAGCATTTAAGGAAAGTCTAACCTCTTGCATCCAGTGGGCATCAGAGCGGAGGACCAGCTCAAATGTGACTGTAGTAGTAGCAGAGCTTCAGAGAGGGTGGAATTCTCAGCCCCACTGGGTTTCCTGTGTCAGGGTTAGGGCCCTAAAAGAAAAGGGTAGGATCCTGACACTTGAGATGGGTTACATCTAGGTAGATGCAAATGAGAATCCGGAATCCCCAGATTCCTCTGAACCTCTCTCAAATCATTTAGATTTTCCTTTGTCTCTAGTGTTCTGAAGTAGTGGGTTTATTTTCATCCTTGCTATTTAGCATTGTGGTGGGTCTTTCAGATTAGTAGTAAATATTCTGCACTTCTGGGATATTTTCTTGGTTTATTTCATTGATGGTTTATATTATTCCAGTTTTCTTATCTTTTTTTAAAATCTTTTTTCCTTAAAATTTTTCTTAAAGATTTATTTATTTGAGACAGAATGAGAGAGAGAGAGAGACAGAGAGAGACAGAGAGCGAGCACATGAGAGGGGGAAGGGTCAGAGGGAGAAGCAGACTCTCCACCGAGCAGGGAGCCCGATGCGGGATTCGATCCAGGGACTCCTGGATCATGACCTGAGCCGAAGGCAGTCACTCAACCAACTGAGCCACCCAGGCGCCCTTAAAATTTTTTTCTTAATTGAAGTATAGTGGATATATAACACTGTATTAGTTTCATGTGTACTTTTTTCCTGTTTTCTAACTCTATTACTTGGTCTTTCTGGGGATTTCTTCAACTTTGTCATCAAAATCTTTTTATAGTTTTTCATTTCTGCCATCACATTTTTTTTAACTCCTCAAAGTTCATTCTTTTTTTTTTTTTTAATTTTATTTATTTGAGAGAGAGAGAGCAAGCGAGCACAAGCAGGGCGAGGGGCAGGCAGAGGGAGAGGAGAAGCAGGCTTCCCGCTGAGCAGGGAGCCCAATGTGGGGCTCAGTCCCAGGACCCTGGGATCATGACCTGAGCCGAAATTCATTCTTATTTTATTTATTCCTTTGTAGGAATATCTTCTGGCTTTATGGATCTATCATCTTTTTAAGGACATTAAAATGTGCTAAATTTTCATCTTTCTGCAGGTCTGTTTCTCCCAAGTTGCTTCTCTTGTCTGTACGAGTTCACCCTTCATGCTATAGACTATCCACAGATGTCCGGTAATCTCCAGCTCCATGTATTTATGGTGATACTCTGAAATACTGATTTGAAAAATCAATTATAAAGGCACCTGGGTGCCTCAGTTGGTTGAGCATCCAACTCTTGGCTTTGGTGCAGGTCATGATCTCAGGGTCGAGATTGAGCCCTGCAGTGGGCTCCACACTCAGCAGGGAGTCTGCTTGAGATTTTCTCTCTCCCCCTGCCCCTCTCCCCCACTCACATGTGTGCTCTCCCTCAAATAAATAAATAAATTTTATAAGTCACCTGTAGGGGCGCCTGGGTGGCTCAGTCGTTAAGGGTCTGCCTTCGGCTCAGGTGTCATGATCCCGGGGTCCTGGGACCGAGCTCTGCATAGGGCTCCCTGCTCCGCGGGAAGCCTGCCTCTCCCTCCCCCACTCCCCCTGCTTGTGTTCCCTCTCTCGCTGTCTCTCTGTCAAATAAATAAAATAAAATCTAAGAAAAAAAGTTAAAAAAATTAAAATCAATTGTATTCTTACATACTAGAAGTTGGGGGGGGAAAATGGGAGGACATGTTCTACTAAATACAACTAGGCAATTTGAAAATGTGAGTAGGCACAGAGGCAGACAGATTAACAGAAAAGACAGAAAAACCCAGCACAGGGATCCATGTGTATTTGTAAGTATGTGTGTGTGTATATAAAATATATTCATAATATTTGTACATATATATACATATGTATTTTTCCAAATAGAAAAAAATGAAGCTGGTCCCTTGGTTCATGCCAAATAGGAAGGTAAAATCCTGGTGGATTTAAAAACCTAAATGTAGGGGCGCCTGGGTGGCTCAATCATTAAGCATCTGCCTTCGGCTCAGGTCATGATCTCAGGGTCCTGGGATCGAGCCCCACATCGGGCTCCCTGCTCAGCTGGGAGTCTGCTTCTCCCTCGCCCACTCCCCCTGCTTGTGTTCCCTCTCTGGCTGTGTCTCTCTGTCAAATAAATAAAATCTTAAAAACAAAAACAAAAATCCCTAAATGTAAAAAGCAGAACTAATAAAACTTAGGATAGGGCGCCTGCGTGGCTCAGTCGGTTGAGCAACTGCCTTCGGCTCAGGTCATGATCCTAGAGTCCCAGGATCGAGTCCCACATCGGGCTCCCTGCTCGGCAAGGAGTCTGCTTCTCCCTCTGACCCTCTTCCCTTTCGTGCTCTCTATCTCTCACTCTCTCTCAAATAAATAAATAAAATCTTAAAAAAAAAAAAAACTTAAGAGAGGATAAATAAAGGAGAGCGTCCTTTTAACCTTGGGTTGGGGAGATTCCTAAAAGATATAAAGAGCACTAACCATAAAGAAAAATATAAACTTGGCTACAGTAAATCAACTTCTGGTCATGAAAAGATATAATAAAGAGAATGAAAATACAAAATTTCATATCTTTTCTTCTTTGTTCTTATGATAGGCTTCCTTAGAAAAATCCCTTGTCATTTGAGTCATTTCAAGGAAAGAGGTAAATGAATGTACAATATCTGCCACTCTCAGCCACAGTGCTAAAGTTTTTTTATTTTTAATTTTTAATTTAATTTTATTTTTTTTTAAGATTTTATTTATTTGAGAGAGAGAATGAGAGAGAGAGAGAGAGCATGAGAGGGAGAGGGTCAGAGGGAGAAGCAGACTCCGCACTGAGCAGGGAGCCCGATGTGGGACTCGATCCCAGGACTCCAGGATCATGACCTGAGCTGAAGGCAGACTCTTAACAACTGAGCCACCCAGATGCCCCTAATGGTTTTATTTTTTTTAAGATTTTATTTATTTGACAGAAAGAGAGAGAGCACAAGGAGCCAGAGAGGCAGGCAGAGGGAGAGGGAGAAGCAGGCTCTCCACCGAGCAGGGAGCCCAACGTGGGGGCTTGATCCCAGGACCCTGGGATCATGACCCGAGCTGAAGGCAGCTGCCTAACCGACTGAGCCACCCAGGTGCCCCCGAAAAGGTTTTTTATTTTTTATTTATTTATTTTTTTAAAAGATTTTTATTTATTTGAGAGAGAGAGAGAATGGTAGAGAGAGAGCACGAGAGGGAAGAGGGTCAGAGGGAGAAGCAGACTCCCTGCCGAGCAGGGAGCCCGATGCGGGACTCGATCCCGGGACTCCGGGATCATGACCTGAGCCGAAGGCAGTCGCTTAACCAACTGAGCCACCCAAGCACCTTCAAAAGGTTTTTTAATGAGAAAAAAATCTAGCAACTTTTGTGCTAGACTAGTTACATTTTCCCCAACATACATTAAAAAAAAAAAAAAATACCCGGTAAAAGAAAAAATATTTGCCAATGTATTTCCTCAAATTCTCTCATGAACTGTCTGATCATAGTGATCCCACACCTAAGGAAGCAAGTGTCCCTACCTTTCCACACACACTTCCTCTTTTTATTTTTTTAAGATTTTATTTATTTATTTGACAGAGAGATAGCACAAGTAGGCAGAGAGGCAGGCAGAGGGGGAGGCAGAAGCAGGCTCTCCACTGAGCAGGGAGCCCGATTTGGGGCTCAATCCTAGGACCCTGGGATCATGACCTGAGCCGAAGGCAGCTGCTTAACCGACTGAGCCACCCAGGCGCCCGACACTTCCTCTTTTTAGAATCCAATGCATCCCTGTGTAGAAATTTTCCTGGATTGTCTCTAGTTATCCCCGCCATAAGAATAATCATTTTCTACTGGTATCTGACCCTATCTATCAAATGAGGTTTTGGAAGTGGAACACAAAATTAAGAAATAAAAACACTGCGGGCCGAAATAATCTGGGAAGCCCTGGATGGTACTAGAAAGTGGAACAGCCTAGACAAAACCAAGACCAAGGAATTAGCATAAATAAAGGTTTTATTGGTCAGTTTGGGTGAGTCACATACTGACCTTCCCCCAACTCACTGTTTCACACACCCAAGGCCCTGAGGTGGCAGGAGCAGAAGGTAAGCCCACAGATGGTGAGCAAAGGGTGGACAGAATCTGAAGGCCTCTGAGGGTTAACAAGGCTACCGGGACCGGAACCAACGTCCTAGGAATAAATCCAGGATGGAAAAGGCATCATCCAGGGCTGGAGATGTTGGTGATTCTGGATCTAAGGAAAAAAGTGATACACACAGACACACTAAATGAAAGAATGAACAAAGGACAAGGAGAGGAGTAACTTAAAGAGTAGAAAAGTACGGGTTCCCCTTTCCCAAGGAAACAAGAGATGGATCCCCTCGATTCAGACTTTACTTACCATCTCTAGGACTGCCATCTGCTTCTTGATGGGTTACTGTGGTCTCTGTCCGGCCCTCACTGTCCACCACAGTCCGGCGCTCCTCTACTGTCTACAAGGAGAAGCCCGAACCGTATCTCTAACATCAATAAAGGTGAGTTCACTGGTTTCTCTACCTAGATTGCTCTCTCCATGGCATCCTCTGGCCACGATTCCTTCTACCCCTCTCTTCCAACTCACCCCATCTGGCTTAGTGATCTTGGTCACAGAGACACTCTTGAAATAGGATTTGGGCTGGGGCTGCAGAACTGGGCCGAGGCCCTCCTGGGAAACCTGGGAATCAAGATCTGGAAGGGCGGAGAGAGGAAACATGAAATCAGGAGTCCAAGGAAAAGAAGGGGCCAGGCGTGACAAGAAACTTCAGGAAGAACAGAGGGCACGTTAAATGGCCACTCCCACCAGACTCACCATTGTCTTCTCTGGCTCTAGAACGGGGGGTCATAGGCCACACATCCTCAAACTGTAGAAGAAGGCAAAGTAGGTGAAATGATACCTTTCAATCTGAAACTTGTGACAGAAAACAAAGTATTCCCAAGATCCAAAACTACCTTTCCCTGGAGAGAGAATCCCACTCCGAACAGCTTTCTGTACTCACCCTCCCCCTTCTCACCTGTTTTATCTACGCTTCTACCAACAGGCTCTCCGGAACCGACACTTGCCTTTTTTTTAAGATTTTATTTATTTGAGAGAGAGAAATTAAGAGTGAGCATGAGGAGGGGGAAGGGCAGAGGGAGACAGAGACGCAGACTTCCGGCCGAGCAGAGAGCCCGCCGCGGGGCTCAGTCCCAGGACCCGGACGCACCATCGACTGAGCCACCCAGGTGTCCCTGAAATGACACTTTCTATCCCAGCCAACAATCTGCCTTGTCCCAGAATCATACAGACCGGTGATTTTTTTTAAAAAGATTTCATTTATTTGAGAGAGAGAGAGCATGTGCGAGTGTGCAGGCGTGAGGCAGAGGGAGAAGCAGACTCCCCGCCGAGCAGGGAGCCCGACGTGGGGCTCGATCCCAGGACCCTGGGCCCATGACCTGAGCCAAGGGCAGACGCTTAACGACTGAGCCACCCAGGCGCCCCGAGTGATTTTTTTTTTTTTAAAGAAAAAGAACTCCCATCCCGGTGCCCCGCCCCCCCAAATCCTACAAGCAGCTTAATGCAGAAAACAGGTAAGAGCAGTAAGTGGAGAGCCGAGGACCCCAAGCCAAGGCTGCTGGGTCCCGCCCGGCCGCCAGTCTGTGCCGGGAGCCGTCTCCCCCGGCTCTCACTTTGGCCCCAGAAGCACTCACCACACCAAGGGGCCTCTGGGAGCCCCGGTCCGGCGCTGCTTCGGGGGACGCACTTGCTGCCTCACTCTCCGAGGCGCCCGCAGAGGTCCGGGGCTGCTGACTGTCCGGGTACTTCAGCATCGCGTCCCGAAGCGTGCGTCGCTCCCGCCGTCTCGCCCCAGGCGTCTCGGCCTCAGGGCCAGGACCTGGAAGTTCTGCAGAAAGGGGCCCGGTGGTGCTGCGGCGCGAGAGGCCCCGCGCCCCTCACGGCCCGACCGACACCGCAGTCCCCTCGCACTGCCCCCCGGCTGCCCTCCCCAGGCTCCCGATTCACCACCGCCCCGGGGACGGCCACGCACCGCGCGGGCGGGAAGGCGAGGTCCAGGGGCCCATCTCGCTGAAGACGTGGCTGAAATCCCGCACGAGGTCATCAAAGCCGAAGCGATCGCGGAGGCGCGTCCCTCCCGCGCCGCAGCCGAAGCCGAATTCCTCGCGGGGCCGGGCGCCCTCACGGCTCCCGCGGCCCCACGTGGCTGCTGCGGCCTCGCCCTGCTCGGCCTCCTCGCCCGGCTCGTCCTCCTCGTCCTCTCGAGTCATCCCCCCGAAGAAGGGCTCTCTGCGGCCGGGAGCGAAGGCAGGTTTGACCGGGCGGCTCGCGGGCCTCGGGCAGGCGGGCGCTGCGGCTCCGAGGTGCGGGCGAGAGGGCGGGCCGCGGGGTCTGCGCGGTGCTCTCGCCTTTGCCCAGCAGCCAGGCCTCAGCTCGCGGCTCCCCCGCGCCCCCCGCCCCGCAGCCCCGCCGTCGTCCCCGCCCGGGCCCCCGTGGCTTCACCCCAGACTGCAGAAGGGCTTAGACCGCTGCCAGGCCTCCGCTCAGCGGCCGCCCGGTTACCGCCGCGGCGCGCGTGCGCCGCGCGCCGACTTCCGTCCTGGCCGCCGCAGCTGCAGGAGTGACGAAGGGGCTGGCTTCCCAAGAACCGGGGGTCAGGGGTCACGCTCCCCTCAGAAGACCCCACCCTCGTCCGATCCCGACCCGCTCTAACCTCCGAGGTCCAGAAAAGCCGAAAAAGCCCCGAAAGAGATCAAACAGGCTCATCCCCGTTTTGGGACTCGAACCCGCGGACCCCCACCGCAGCCCGCTCGCCCCCGGCGGCAGCCCGCGCCGCGCGGCCGGAAACGGAGCGAAGCGTCGGGCCACCTGCCGGAAAGCAGGCCTGCGACCCGGCACACCGTCGCAAACGGGCCAGCAGCACGACGCGGGCGGGGCGGATCGCCCTGTCCCGAGCCGCCGGCCAGGCGCGAGGGCAGGGGGCGGGCGCCCGGAACGTGCCGCTGCCCGGGATCGCCCGCCGCCCCCCCCCCCCCGCCCCCCCCCCCCCGCCGGCCTCCCGGTGCGGCAGGGGCTCCGAGGCTGTGAGGCCGCGTGGGACCGGCTGCCGCCGCCAGGGGGCAGCCTCCGCCCGGCCGCGCCCGCGCGCGCGCTCCGCGTTTGAATTCCCGGGTCGGGGAGCACGCGGGGACTTCGCGCTCTCCAGCAAGGGGCGTGTCGTACCCAGAACGGGGTCCTAACCGCTCCCCGGGCAGGCGCGTACGAGAGCCAGGGAAGCGCCGCGAAGTCTTGCGGGGGGAGGAGGAGCTTGGAGCTGTAAGTATGCCTTTGCTCGTCCCTCTCAAGCCTCTCCTCCCCTGCACCCCAGCCCGCCCCCGGCCTTGGGCTCCAGACCCCTCCCCTCCAAGGGGGTGGCAGCAGCCACGCACCCGAGGCACCCAGAAGCAAGAACTGCTGTGCTCGACCCCCAGCCGACTGCAGGTTGCCCTCCCTCCTGCCCGGGTCATTGCCTGGACCCGTCTACACCACACGCCGACTCTCCAAAGCCGTTTCTTCCAGCTCCTGCTCAGTCTTCTCCCTTTCCACCCGGTCTCTGCTGTCCACGCCCTTCACAGCCCGAAATCTGCTGCAGGTGGAGCAGTTTCTGGAGGAAATGAAAATCTGCAGCGGCTCTTTGTAGGCTGTGAAACCCCTGGGGGAGGAGGAAAGGGAATCCCCACGAGGCAAGACCGCGGCAGCACACTAAGGGCGCAGCGCGCCCTCTCCCCCGTTGCCCCCTCGGCCCGGCAGGTACAGAATCCTCGTTCACCAGAGCCGTCGAGGAGCCTGTCCTAGACGATCAAGAATGGGCAGACGCTGAAGGTAGAGGTTTTCTTTTTATATATACAAGACACATTAATCCATTAAATTTGAGGACACAGTACAAAAAAAAAAACACTTCAACTAATTCATCTGACAATGCTGTTCATATTCATGACGCCATTTTTTGTTGTTGTTTTGTTTCCTAATAATAAAGGAGGAGACTTAGGGCTGTTGGGCTGATATATATTTGGGGGTCCCCCCCACCCACCTCACCCATACACCACCAGGGTGAACAGGAGGAGGAGAAGGAAGGCAGGGCCCACAGCAAAGTTTCATAATCTTGAATGCAAGGGAGGAGGAGGGGAGGAAAGGAGGAAAAAAAAAAAAAAAAAAAAAAAACAAACCCTATAATACATACAACAGAGGGGGGACCGTATGGGAACGGGACAGACATGAAGCTGAGGCATGGGGTGGGCCGCTGGGGGGAGGGGGGGGCAGCGGGCCCCCTCCCCCATTCCTTTCTCTCTGTGATGCTGTTTCCGTAGTTGCCAGGCTGAGAAGCCCTCTCAGAAGATGGGACCGGGAGAAGAGGAGGGTCAGGGCCTCAGTTGGCCCCCCAGCTGTAGCTGTTGTAGGCAGACTTGTTGGTCTGGGGCTTCTGCGGGATGGAGCTGGTCTGGCTACGTTGCCCGCTGCCCGTCTGCAGGGAATGGGACGATGAGGAGGAGGAAAAAGGTGTCTAGTTAGTGGGACAAATCGGGGACATCTTCAGGTGGAGATCGGGAAACTGTCTTGCTCTCCCATTCCCCCTGTTTAGGAACTACTCTCAAGTTTACTTCCCAAGCACAGGAAATTTGGTTTACATAGCTGCTAGAGCACCTGTAACGGGTAAAAAAGCCTTTTCAACCTTTAAACAGGGTAGCAATGTAAAGATGGCAGGATACCTTTGGAAGGTAAGACCGTGAATGAGTTCTACCCACTTTCAGTTCCACCTTCTCCCCCCACCCCCACCGACACTGCTGAGAAAAGGCTACTCTCTCTGGAGAGAATTATGGCCTCTTGGAGAGGAGTGATCACAGGGTGGTTTCATTTTCACTGATCCCATGAATACCTCAATTTGGGAAGCTGTCTTTGAGAGCAGGGAAGCCCTGGCCCAGCTCCCCAGCCACCTGTGATGGAGGAGAGGTCACTTGCCCACCCGCAGCGCCCCACCCCTACCACGCAGCACAGCTGGGAGCCCCCTGCAGGCAAGGTAGGAGAGACAGTCTGAGGCCCCAGGGGCTCCAGATGCTGCCCCAGGACTGCCTTCCATTCCGGTGTCCGAGTGTTTCCAGGGTCAGGGAAAAGGGCAGAGAAGAACAAAGAGGGCGCCGGGGAGGGGAGGGCAGGGGAGGGACGGGAGGCCAGAGAGCTCAGCAAGGTGTCCGTGTTCGTGTGTCCTGATCTGTGACTGTGCAGCCTTTTCAAGTTCCCTGAGGCTGTGGAGGTGAAATGGGGGCTGGAAAGGAGTGGGTTCAAGCACATCATCATTCAGTTTCATTACCTGCTCCTCCTGCTGGCGCTGGCAACAGAGAATCATCTGCAAATATGGTAGCTGAGGCAGAACCAGGATATATGGAAAATAAAGGGACAAACTTTGACAAGAGAACTCCACCATTAGCAGGGAAAGCTACAATGTCAGGGAAGGGGGGAGGCCGGGAGAGGTCAGAGGGTAGGTGTGACCCAGGTCTGATGGGATGAGGGCAGCTGTGCTACTGGAGGTAGAGGAGAAAGGTGCCAAAGGAACGGGGCAAAGGAGCTTTGAGCCTGGCCCCTTCTCTGGCGTCTCCTCTTGCCGGCGGCTTGTGTTATGTGCACTTGTGTCTGTGTGTGCTGTGTGCCCATGGCTGGCGCTGGGAGGGGTGGGTGAAGGTGGTGGTGAGGAAGGGTAAGAAAAGGAAAGGGGGCAGTTTTAAGGGATAGGAAGGAAGAGGAAGGGAAAGGAGAGGGGGAGGGCTGTTACCTGGCCGTCCTGCTGCAGGTGATGGTGGAGGATCTGGGAGTGCGGCTGCTGATGGGGGGTCAGAATGTGCATAAAGGGGGCAGGTGGGTAGGCAGCAGCTGTGGCCGGATTGATGGGCCCCCCACTTCCTAGGGCTGAAGGCAAGTTGAAGGAGGCAGCAGGAGTACCGGAATGAAAACCTTGTTTCTCAAAGGACTGCTATCCAGCGGGATGGAGGAGAGACAGTAAAAGGGGTCAGCAAACCAATCCCTGGAGTTTCTGGGCCCAAGCCCCGCACCCACCGAGAACAGTCCTCATCAGAGGAGGAGCACTGCACCTGGAGCCAGGTGCTTGGGTCTGTCTCCGCTCTGCTCTTTAAGAGCTGTGTGATCCTGAGAGAAGGACTCCCTCCCTGACTCCCGTTTTCTCACACATAACAACACGGGGGTGCTACTGACTTCCAGCTGTCAGGACCACAGGAGAGGGTGGGCTGTGAGCGCTCGGGACTCTACCGTCACCCCCCCCCCCCCCCCCCGCAGCTGGGCCCGTCGGTGGCAAGGTCTCGGCCATGAGGTGCTCCACCATAACTCCTGTAATACTTCATGTATCAAACTTAACAACACCCACTCCTTGTTTTCACAAAGAACCAACGAACCAGTTTCCCTTCATTCCACACTTGTTCCCTTGGAAAGTTGCAAAAGGCTGGCAGTGGGTGAAGAAAGGACAGTAGTACAGTGAGTCCCACACATGTCACAGCGACCTGCCACGCCTCACCTTCCTGTCACACTTCTCTTGCTTTTTCTCAGAGGGCGGGATTTACACTTCTTTGAGAAACTGCAATCTAGAGGCCATTCATCTAGGGTGGGTTCCCTGACACTTCTCAGGGTCGTGCTTGCTCACTGAACTTGACACTGCCACGCCACCTCTCTCTCTGTCCGTCTCTTTCCACTTCTCTCCAGAGCTAGGCACCTACCTGGGTTTTGGAGTACACAGAACCCGAGATATCTGGCACGCCCGTGTTACTGGAGGTGACTGATACACCTGGGGGAGGAGGAAACAGACAGGAGGATTAGCTCAGCTAGCTGCTGGCCCCTCTCCCGGCGAAGAGATGGTGTGTGCAGCCTTTCTAGCTACCGCACTGCAAGGGAATGCTGGTCTGCTTTTCCATCTCAGAGGTCAGTCCTGAGAGATGAGAGCTCATGACCCAAATCTCTTGCCCTTTCCAGGTATGTACTGAGTATGTGTGTGAGAAAGCGAGGTGAGTTGCTTTTTGTGGGGCAAGGGGATATAGCGAAACCCCACTAGCATATAGTTTTCAAAATACTTTTGTACCAAAGCCCAAAAGAAATGTATTAAACTTTTAATGTCCATTTTAAATCAACCCACCCAGACTCCACTCAGTCCTGCTCCTGAAGACAGGTAGTCTGGGCTCTTTCTGTTCACGAAGAGACACTTTTGGGCTCAGGATCCATGCTTTCACAGCATAAGGTAAGAGCTCGAGGAGCAGTCCAGTCCAACCCCAAGAGCACGGTCCATTCTCGGAGTCTCAGCTCCCCTGGCTTCTCCAGTCCTGGCTCTTCTAGGCTAGGTACTTATGACTTAACGAGCTGACACAAAGGTGCATTTCCAGCTAAGTAATATAAGCCTAAACATGGGGAAGGTACAGGGGTTAGGAAGGCAGTGGGGTAGACTATTATCTCCTACGGTCTACATGGAATACAAAATCTGACGTCCTCATCATTTACAACTTGAGCTTCTCTGTGAGACAGAGGCTCTGATCCATACTCCCAGTAACTTGCGTGTTTCCTGGCGAAAAACTCCCTACAACCACCACCACTTCAAGGAAACCAGAGCAGTACCACTCCTCATTTTAATTTCTACTCTCGACACTGAAATACACACACTGTGCCCTCTGTTATGGAGCCATGGGTCAGGGAGACAGGAAAAAGCCATCAGATAAAATAATCTAGCATCTTACTAGAGAAATCTTATGCCAAGATTTGAGGGAAAATAACTCAAATTTAAAGCACACTTTTAAAGATACATTCGATCTCATCACATGAGA